GTTCAATGGTCTCAGGCTCCTTCTGTCATTTTTCTACCATCCTATACATGATTTCCACCTTCAAACGAAAGGACGTTGTCAGCACAAAGAAGACTTGAAGTTTGTAGATTTTTAAAAAAATAAAATTTTTATTTGAGCCCATCTTAGAACATTGTCCAAGAGCGAAGTTCCAAGATGCCTTGAAACAGTGCTCCAACTTTAGGAAAGTGAGGAGGCCAAAGAAAAAATACAGCCATGCATCAGCAGTTTTAGTTACATGCATTCAAGGATTAAAAGTTTTCCATCAGCTGGAGAGAATATCCAGATAAAGTATGGTCGTCAAGCACCTGGAGCCAGGAGTTGTGGGAAGGGGTCTGGAAGCAATTATTTTTACATTTCTATCAGGATGTATGAAGAAGAGGAACCGCCTTCTATAATTGTTTATCTTTTTAATTGGAATTGTTGGAAAGTGTATGTGGCTAGCCCCACAAAAGGCCTTGGTTAGGATTTATTGTGTTCCCCTAGTTACTGATCAAGCTGGAGCAGCAGCTTAGACACCGTTTCCTTTCTCATAGTCCAAGAGGGCTGCTAAAATTGAAGTCATTACTTCCAGGAAGAAAAAAGATAAGAAAGCTCCCTCCCAGTTAACTCAATTCCCTTTAGGCACCCATCCTCAAAGTCCCATGCAACACGGGTACCTGTATCTCATGGGTAGAATTTAGGCTGTCAGGGAGGATGAAAAATAATCTGTTATATGGATACATAGTCATCCTCCAAATTAAAAAAAATACTGGATTATTGTATTAATGAAGAAACAAGGAGATACTATTTATGTAGCTAGCAGTATCTGCCATGCTGCATTTATTTTAATTTTTAAAAATTCAAAAATAAACTTTTCAGAGCGATTCTATTATGAGAATGTGAAGATGATATCAGAAAGCTAACGCAATATGGATCTATATCTTAATGAAAAATGTACTTTTCATGGACATCATACGTTTGCAATACAAACTGGAATTGAAACACAATTATATTTGTTTCCTTGTGCCAGTTTTTACCATATATATGGATACATATATATGTATTGTACATATTTCAAACATAGATAATGGAAAACAAAGTTTCTCTAAATGTACTTTCTTGATAACTAAAGTAACATTTCTGGAGTGTGGTAGGGATGGAGACATATTGCTCTAGAGAGAATTCCACAACTTCCACATATATGAATCCTGAAAGCTCAACCATGTCTAGGTAGGTTCATGGGTAATGGAAAGTGGTTTGACTTGGGCAGGATGGAATAGCAAAGTGAAATGTTAAAAATGGAAAGAAAAAAAATTCAATTAAATTATAAACCAAAAAAACTCACCAACACAAGGAATTTTCAAAAGAAATAATTTAGTGTACAAACTGAACTATCAGTGGCCATACCAAGGATGCCTTCTCTTTTAGCTCCATCCCATAACCCAACCCCAAACTACCCCAAATAAATGATCATTCTAATCAAGAACAATGTATCTGCTATGGAAACATATCCTTCAAGTATTGTCCTCTAGCCCAAAGCTACACCCCCACCCCTTCCACTCAAATTTTTAATTCAATTTCTGTCTTATATAGATATTCAGTGAGAACTGGTCATCATCCTTTAGGAAGCAGAGTTGAATAGTTGCAACAGACCTTATGGTCTGCAAACCTAAAGTAAATACTATTTGTTTAGTAAATACTAAAGTATTTACTATCTGGCCCTTTACAAAAAATATTTGCTGAGTCCTTATTGCACAAAGTTAATATCCATTCATTTACTGCCCGAGTACTTATTAAACAGCTTTTAAATATCAAGTACTGTGCTTCTACTTTCCATGTAAGAAGCTTTCAGACAAATGAAGTAGTAGATAACCAATTAAAATGCTCACTGATAAGTGCTACCTTAGGGGCAAAAATAGGTCACAATGTGAGCACATATACAATAAGGCACTAACCCAGAATAGAATGGTAACCAGGAAAGACTTCCTGATGAAAAAAAAAAACCAGTAACTAAATTGCTTTTGGATGGTGAGTAGGAGTTAGGCAGGCAAAAAGGGAGAAGGTACAAGTTACAAACGCCCAGAGAAAAATTAGGATGATTCAAATATTTCAGAGATGAGTAAGAAAAGGTGAGCAAAGGTTTAGAGATAACTATGTCAGATTGATAGCAAGGGTAATGGGTGAAAGAACTGTCGTAAACTAACTAAAATAGCACAAACTAGGCCACTGGGCCAAGGCCAGAAAATGCAGCTATCCAGTGTGTGGTAGGGCAGAAGGCAGGAAGTGATTGTTAAGAGAAGCTGAAGCATCTCAGTAAAGGGTGGCTGTGGGGGAAGATAATAAGACAGGAGTCAAGGAGGAGGAAGAATGGTTAACTGCAAGCCAGGGACTGACTTGCACAGGGAGTGGTGATCTTGCTGGTGGTCCTCAGGCTTTTAAAGAAAGTTTTCATAGACAGGCAGCTGTCCTGGGCCTTGCCCTCTACCTGCAAATGAAGATGGAACTGTCCTTTTCATTAATCTTTGCAAATCCCTCTGCGGGCCTCATCTGAAATGCTTTTGGAGATGATAAAGTCTTTTATTCCGGGATTAGAGATAAAGGCTTAAAATACAAATGCCAATTGAGGTTAAAACATTGCACTTTTTTTGGATGAAAGTGCAACAGACAGTGAGCCAACAGATATCAGATACTTTCCAGTTTCAATTTATGGGACTTTGGGGAAGGGAAGGAGTTTCTAATGAAAGATCCTTACTTAAGGGCCAGTCCTGTTTGTTCTCAAATAGAGCTAGAGAGCAATGAACAAAAGCAAAGGAGATACTCTGTCAGATTTAGGAAATGTGTGTTCTTTTGTTTTAGTTGAGGTTGTAAGGGAGCAAAAAGTTTTCTTTGGACCTGGTCCCTGGCTGGGTCTATAAATTAAACTGACAAAGACAGGTTAACAGGATAAAAGCATACAAATTTTATTGAATTTTTACATGTACATGGGAGTGTTTACAAGAGAATGAAGACCCAAAGTAATGACCAGGGCAGGAAGTTTTTATACTTTTTAGACCAAAAAAATAAAGAAGAATTGACAAAACAAAAGGCTTTGGGCTAGTGTCAGTAAATGGTGAAGAATTAACTAGGAAGATAGGGGTTAGTTTAACAAGGATTGTTTATACTGTCCTAAATTCCACCTCTGGGGATAAGAATGTCTTCTTTCTTCCTGGTATAGGGAAGGTACCTTTTACATAGGAATTTTATGACTTGTGGGAAAGAAAAGTGAGGTTGGACGTTGCAGAGTGACATTTCTGCTTCCGTCATCGTATCAAATTCCTTCAGCATAAAATATTAAATATGCCAAGGTGCCATATTTTCAGGTAGAATGTCCTAAACCCCATCAAGGTATATCTTGTTTTGTAAGATATATATTTTAAAAACGTAATTACTTGAGAGCGTTGTTATGACTATGTCATTTTTTTAGGTGAGGACTTTCCCCCCCGAGTTTGTCACTTGCTTTGAGAATTTCATTTAATTTTCAGAACTTTTGCCTGACTCCCTTCTCTCAATAAAAAAGCTCTACATTGGTGTAACTTATATGTTCCCCACTCCCATGGCCACTCTATGCAAGCCTTTTCACTTCTCATTATCTGTTTAGTTGTCTGTCTCCTCCCATTAGATCTTAAGTCTCCACCAGTGCAGGGACTATTCAGTTTTGTTCACTGTGTATTTCCCAGTTACTAGCTCAGGGTCTGGTATATAGAGATGCTCAATACATATTCCTGAATAAATAAAGGATAACAATATGGAAATATTGTGTCTATTCAATCTGATGTACTTAGTAACTACAAGTACTCTATTGTTTGTATATGTTAATTAGCAGAGAAAAAGATCTGCTCCATAAGCTTTTTAAAAGGAAACACCACATACTCGACTAAAAAGAAAAGTTCAGGTTATAAAATTTTTTCTATTAGAATATGGTCTTATTAAATATATATTGTATTACATCGTGCTTCCACATAAATTTTACTTTTCATTTTTATTTTTATTTTTTTGGTGCACATTTTAAAACTGGTTCTGCTCTATTTTTCTAAGGGCATTTGCCTTAAATTTGCAAAAAAATATGCTAACATTTATTTTGAAATATTAAGAATTATTTATTTTTAGTTCTGCTATGTAAAAAAGGAAGTTATTTTCCTTTTTAGAAATGAAATTTCAAGTTCAAATAGTCATTTTGGGGTTTTTACATAAGATGCTAATGTAAAAAAAGCTCTTTTCTAGCCAAATCAATATACACCTATGTGTTAATAATTCACAAATGTACTTAAGGGTTGAATATATTCTGCGATAAGATTCATTCCTAGGGTTGTGGAAGTTTGAGGTTGCTGTAACAAAACACACATTTAAGGGACTATCTTTTTTTCAAAATTTTTTCTTCGCTCTCTCTTAATCTCTACCTACCTACATTCCACTGACTTTATTGAAAAGCTGGTTTATTTCAACATCATTTTTATTTGCAATGGTTTTTAGCAGCGAGTGCTGAGGTTAATACACTGCTTCCGTAGGTTTATAACCTGTGGGTACATATTTATAAACACAAGCTGTTTTGTATATCCTTTGTATAGCATGTGGAGAAAGTGATATTAGAATAAAAGTAGAAGCCTTATTTAAAGACATAAGAACACGTGCATGAGAGAACTTGGTGGATATATAAATAAATTTTGTACTGCCATGGAAATGTAGAAAACTGAGAACTCCAGAAGTATTCATGCAGCGTCCTCTCAAAATGTGTTTTGAGGACTTCTGCTCGGCAGTGGCTGGCCTTATGCCAGCAGAATAACACTCCTCAAACACCACCACCCCCCCGCAACCTCCATCCCCCAAGACTCCGCCGCCCACTAGTGAGCTGGGGCTGCGAGGTCCTGGAGACGAGGGAGGCAATCGCACCCCACACTTCCCAGGATACTGTGCGCAGGCCCCGAGCGCGCTCCTCGCCCCGCCCCAGCCCTCCCGGGCGGTGCAGCGAGGACGCCGGGCTCTGGCGGGGGCTCGGCGGGGACGCGCAGGAGGGCGCGCGCCCCCGGTGCTCGCGCGGGGCCAGGGCCGCGCAGCTCCCAGCTGCGGGGACGTAGTAGCGCCACGGCAGCCTTGGAGAGGCCAGAGGGAAGCGAGCGGAGGGACGAGCCGAGGACCGAGGACCACGGTAACCGGATGCTCGTGCCCCTTCACTCCCGCTCCTTTGTGCGGCGTGGTCTGCTCACGCCGAGCCCTCCCTCTCCCCAACTGCAAATCGTAACGCCTCCGGGTTCGCGCGCGCGGATACTCCAGCCCTGCGAGAGCGGTAACCCGAACTCCGCAGCTGGCGGGCTTGGGCCCATCGCAGCGCTGTACGGCTTCGGTCGCCCCCTTTGGTGGAAGGAACAGGGTCGCGTTCCCCGAGGGGGACTCCAGCCTCTGGCTCTGTCCCCCTAGCCGGCGGCCACTTGGCGCGCTCCTGTCGATCTTTCAGAGAAGAGAAGGGCAAGCAGGTGCTTTGGGGGGTCCAGGGAATGAGCAGAGAGGCTGGCGCGGGTTCGGATCCGGGGAGGGCGGCTGGACGCCCCCCCCCCGGGGGGAACCACAGCTGTGCGGGCGGGGCGCGGGGTGGGGGGGTTGTTGTGACCCTGCCCTGCTGCGCGGAGACTCGCAGCCGCCTCGGGGGCTTAGCCGCCCGGCCGGTACTTACCTGCTCAAAGAGCTTGTTGCCAGTTCGGGACTTGCGGGTACTGGGTGGGGGGAAAGAGGGGTGTTAGTGCTCCATCCGGGGCTTGCCCCTTGGGCTGCCAGTCATCCTTGCTGGTATCGGGGGCTCCTGCCGGCGCCAGGTGTATTTGTGCCTCCTGGTGTGACGCCAGAAACCACAGCCTCTTTCAACAGACGCAGCGGCTCAATGGAGTTGCTGTGCTGTCGCGATGGCAGCTCTTGCGTCCTGCACTTGGTCCTGGGCTCGGCGAGCTTGCCGGTTTCTTTAGGGAGGACGATTTATCTTCATAGTTGGAGCTTCCTAGCCGGGGCTCGTCCTTTACTGGATTTGCACACTTCTAGGCGCCTGGGTTTGAAAAGCTTTTTCTCTATTTTCCCACTTGGAAGCGTTTAATCAGATGACTTTTTGTAGAAAGTGGAACTTTTCTCATTCCTTTTCGTCTGTTTTAATAGCATAACCATGTTTCGTTTGGCTCTTTCCCCTATGCTAATGCTGCCACTTTAGGAGGGTTCTTTGGGGAAAGGTTCTTAAAAGAACCTGGGATGACACCAATATTTTCTCTGCTGGTGGCACTTTTTTTTTTTTCATTTCTTTTCTCTTGTATAAACTGATAGTTGTTCGACGATTGGTGTTCTTCATTCTCCCTCTATGGGGAAATCCTCTTTGTCAGTATCCCTTGCGTCTTGATCCTGCCAAAGGGTAGACTTGGGTGAGCAGAGGACCTCTGCCTGGCGGTGGCTTTCTTCATTGGCTGCTGCTTCTCTCCTTCTAGCACCCCTTTTAGTTTAATCAACCCAGGACCCACTTCAAACTTTTAGTCACTTTATCGATTGCCTTTAAGATACCAAGAGTATTAGCATAAGTATAAAAAAAAATCTCAGGGTACTGTACTTCAACCATTGCTCTTAGCTTCATATTAATATTTAAAGCTGCGAATTCTTTTAGCATTTGATAAGATTACTATCATAGCTTTTTTTTTTAAGATTTTTATTGGGGAATTGGGGGGTTGGGAACAGTGCTGGGGAACTGGGGGAAGGGGAACAGACAAGTTGCTGTCCTTTTCTTCTTCAGTCTAGCTGTGGAGGACGTTGCTTTACTGGCCCAAGTTGGCACCATCACTGTGCTCTTCCCCGGCGAGGCAGATCAGTCGCCGGCTTCTGGACGGCCACTCACTGCGGCTGCTGGCAGCTCACGCTGGCTGCTGGCTGCTGGCTGCACACGGTAGCCCATGGCAACCCACTGCCACAGGGGCTGCAGCCTATGCCGTTACTGGCGACTCACGGGCAGCCCAGCTCCAGGTTGATCTGTTGGTCACCAGCTGTGGAGGGCAAGTGTCACTGGCCCTCATATGTGGGACCCGAACCGGGGCCCTCTGATGTCCCAAGCCAGTTCTTAACCATCGCGCCACTCGGCCGGCCCTATCATAGCTTTTTAAGATGGCAGTGTATTCTGTAGTAATTGCACATTCTGTATCCTAGCAGGAAACTTAACTCACAGTCAGTGAAGATAATTTTTTAAAAAACAGTATTTTCTCATCTGTTAAGAGGAAAATGAGGTAGGTAAGTTTTGACACCACCACCCCCTTTTCAAAATAGAATTTATATTTAGAGCAGTTTTAGCCTCATAGCAAAATTGAGTGGAAAGTACAGAGATTTCTCGTATACCTTCTGCCTCCACGTGCCCCCTGCCCTGTGCAACGTATGTACAGTCTCCTCAACTATCAGAAATCCCCACACTGGAATGGTAAGTTTATTAAAATTGATGAACCTACATTAAAACATTATTATCACGCAAAGTCCAGAGTTTACATTAGAAGTTCACCCTTGGGGGTGTTCATTCTATGGGTTTAGACAAATGACCCTTTAAAAAACAAAATCAAGAACTTTTAAGAGTTGTAGAGAACTGAAATGGGTATTGTCATTTTTTAAAGATTAAAGGGAACATTTTGAATACCCTGCAAATTAATTTCAAATAGCTTTCTGTTTTAAATTGGATGTTTAAATTTGGGTTTCTTATTTTTTAATTTTCAACCATCATTTGTTTGTATATTAAGAACTAAAGAGATGAAGGAGAAGAAATGCTTCATAGAATAGCAAAATGTCATATTTTTCAGTCCTAAAACATTAGGTTGACTACTTCTTGACTTTTCTGAAAAACATGTTTAATGTTAACCAGTGAAGCAAGAGGAAATGGGGCATTTTAATTATATTTTTCTTTACTGATGTCAAGATATAGCTACAATAAAATGTGACCCTTTAGGTTTTTAAAATCTGTTTTCTGTATGTGAGGGGCTTTTGTGGAAGCATCAGGATATAATAATGAACTGAGCTTAGTCCTGGAACTAGCCACTTCTGGATTCAAATCCCAGCTCTCCACCTGTTGGCTGCGTGACCATGGCAAGTTATTTTCTGAATCACTATTTCCTTAGCTGTAAATGGGGGATAAAAATATTATGAGAAATTATTTTATAGTGTAATGTCCTATTGGGTTGTCGGAAAAGTCATGACGCATTTTTGCAACGAAAAATACAGAAAAAATACGTCATGACTTTTCCGACAACTCCATATATAATCACTGATATCACTAGTCTCATTCTGTTTTTTTAAAACACTGCCAGTATAGCTTATTTTCTGGTGAATACTGCTTATGTAAATACTATCAAACTTTTTTTTAAAGGTTGACTGTACACGAGATTTGGTTAGCACTTGTGAGTCAGAGGTAAAACTATGGAAGAGGGTCAAAGGGACCTTGGGAAAATTTCTACTTCATCTCTCTGGTTCTTATAGAGCACACCCTGCTCTATGGGTATGCCCATACATGGTCTTCCAAGAGTATGAACTCTGTGTATAATCTGTACAGTACTTTTCTCAGGAGGAAAACTACAGCTTTCAATGTGTTCAAAAGGGTTTCATGACCATCCTCCCCCCAAAGGTTCTAAGGACCGTTCGTTAGCTTCAGTTATCTAGGCAGATTTTTTTTACTAGATACTTTGCAAATTATTTTCAAAATTAGTTTTTTGAGAAAGGAAAGTGAACAGGTAATTTTATTTTTTTTTAATTGAGAGACAGTGTGTTTTTTCCAGGCCACATCAGCTCCAAGTCAAGTAGTTGTTTCAACCTAGTTGTGGAGGGTGCAGCTCAGTGGCCCATGCAGGGATTGAACCGGCAACGTTGGTGTTAAATGAGCACTACTCTCTAACCAACTGAGTCAACCTGCTGCCCCTGAACAGGTAATTTTTGAAGCACTGCGAGTGCCAGTTTTATTCCAGAACTAGAGGTTGATATTTATGATATAATATGTTCATATGAATAATAGTGCTGCTTCTTATACCTGGAGATGACTCCACTGACTGGTCCCTTATCATTAGGCAGATCCTGTCCATCCCTGTCCTCCCAGGCTTGATGGGCAATAGAACGCATGGTGAAGAATGGCACTCTAATACAATCTAGCATGTTAGAATAGTATTTTGAAATGCTAAAAGATAATTTGGTTTGTTCTAAAATTTGGACTTTTTTTCTTTTCTCAACAAAACACCAAATGCAAAAAAAATTAAGTATTTTATCTTACAAACTAGATGATGATATGTATATAGTATATTTGTTGTAAAATGTTCTTTTATATGGGTTGTCGAAAAAGTCATGACGTATTTTTTCTATGTTTTTCGTTGCAAAAATGTGTCATGACGTTTCCGACAACCCAATAAATAGCACAGAGTGGAAAGTTATATTGAATCCTAATAGGTGATCATATTGCTGATTTGGAAAGAATACAGAATTTACAATCAGCGTATTAGATTAGATTACAATTTGTGATTTGAATTTATAACACTTAAAATAAATCTTATTTGCATTTGGGGAATTTCTGATTTAGGTTACATAGAGTTCATTCTTGTAATAAGAGTTTGGAAGTAAGCTATATCAAACTGTCCTATTTTCCTAGTTAGTGATAGGCTGCTGGGCTATAAGGCTTTACAGTGTGAAGCCAACTCCTGTTTCTGGGTCAGTTACAAGTGTCACAAGGTCTGAAGAGTATGAGGCGGATCAAGTGATGTTATACAAATTTGTGAATGAATCTGTCCAGCAGAGTAGTAATGCCTTTTTGTCTTTTTCTTTGAGATCCCCTTTTTTTCTTTTTCCTTTGGATGTTGGTCAGTTTTTTCATTTGAAATCTGTATACTTTTCAAATTTCAAGGTTCTAAGTCAATACTTGGGGATTTAGAGAATAAAGTAAGAACTGTGTTTGCCTCTCTAGATTTGTTCTTTATAAAAATAATCTCAGGTCTATAGACATCTCAAAGATTAACTAGAGATGAATGCCAGCATTTGCATAGTACATTTTATGTGTAAAGGATAAGTCACTGCTGCATCTTTAGTTATTTTAATGCAGAGGATTGCTTATTACTTTAATAATGAGAATTTCAGGTAAATTAATTGGATATGGAAAACAAAGAGGAATCACTT